CAGGGCCAGCAGAGGCGGCGCCGGAGCCGCAGGGTAGGCGACCGGGCCAGCAGAGGCGGGGCCGGGTCGGGAAGGTCGGCGTCGGGGTCGCCGGGGTAGGCGACGGGGCCAGCCGAGGTGGCGCCGGGGCCGGGAAGGGCGGAGCCGGGGCCGGGAAGGGCGGCGCTGAGGCCGCAGGGGTAGATGACGGGGCCACTAGGGCGGCGGATCGGGGCCGCGAGGGCAACGCGACGCGGCCGCTAGGGCGGCGCGACGGGGAAGCGGGGCCGCGCGCCTCGGGGCGCGCGCCAGAAAGAAAATCGCCGCGCGCCAAAATAGGTCGCACGCCGCGGGGCGTGCGACAGATCGAGTAGCAGCGGAAGCAGTAGTAGGGCCTTAGGAACAGTTCCCACGAGGGAACCTGCTCGATACCATGTGAGAATTGAAACGAGAATGATTCAACTATGAAAGAGTTGGGTACAAGTACTAACCCTAATTGGGTTGTACCCCATATGGGCTACCCCACTACAGCCTACACAAATGTATAAGCTATATGTTCTGACAATATGGGATACCCCACTACAGCTAAACAACACACATAACATAATAGTTTGACACACCCCCATTGGCAAAGTGGAGGAGAACAAGGGGTTACAAGACCAGTCAAGAAAAGCAAAGCAAGCTTAGGGTGGATCACAAAGTCAACACACACTCTGAGCACAAGCAAAAAGGCCATAAGGCCACTTCACATGCAGACTTATATGAATGGGAACAAGCATTACAGTGATCACAACCTAGCAAGTGTAAGCATGCAAGTATATAGATCAAGCACAATGCCTACAACAGTACAGACGCAAAGTAGGCACAAGGCCTAAAACGGTACAGAAATGGTGATCATCACCAGGCTGAAGTGCCTTGGTGAATATATAAGCAGTGTTGGCGTGAGTAGCAACGTAAGCAAGACGAAGCTGACCACGCTGCTGCAACTCTCGAGCAAGGAAGTAACACAGAGCGATGTGCCTCGTCCTGTGCTCGAGTCTGTGCTCCTGGCATAAGGTAATCATGGCCTTGTTGTCTACGTACAGAACTGGAGGAGAATTACGCTGCTCTCCCAAGTCGGTAAGCAGGTAGGTGAGCTAGTGTAACTCCTGTGCAGCCATGGCTCCTACGTAGATCTCAGCCTCACAGCTTAGAACAGAAGGCGAGCGGGAAGACCGCCAAGACACATAACTGGAGCGAAGGCTAAAAGTGTAACCTTGTGACGACTGCTGCGTAGCCAAGTCGTCAACCCAAGACGCGTCTCCGTGGCCACTGAGAACAACCCGACTCCGTCCTCCAACCACGAGCCCCATGCCCAACGTACTGCACAAATAGCGCAACACCCTCTTAGCGGCCTCCCAGTGCTCTGGTCGGTGTCTCCCGGGCGCAACATAGCGCGCCAGGATGCTTAGAGGATAGGCAAGGTCAAGTCGAGTGCAGGTCATCAGGTACATGAGGCAGCCCGCAAGCTCTGGATACGGGCCACTTAGCTCTACAGACTCGTCTGAAGGTGAAACTGAGAGCAAGTGACCGGAAGGTAGAGGAGAGGACAGTGGCGAGGAGTAATGGCAGCGGAAGCGCTGAAGGACGTGGTGCACCATATGTGACTGAGTAAAGGTGATGGTGCGCCGTGCTCTGTCCCACGTGATCTGCAAGGCAGCATAGCTGCGCAGCTCATCCAGGTATGTGCACGTGTGTCTCTTCTGCATTCCAACTTCTCTAGAGCCAGTGCCTCAGTGCCAGCAGTGGCAAAAACCAAGTCGTCGACGTACACGAGGATGTAGAACGGCGGCAGCGAATTGTCGGTGCGTAGAAACAGCAACGGGTCAGTAGTCGAAGGAGCAAACCCAAGAGCCGCAAGTGTCGTGCTCACTGTGTCGTGCCACTTGCGAGGCGCCTGGCGGAGACCGTAGACTGGCCGCCGGAGGCTCCACTGGGTACCTGCAGGAAACGACCCAGTGAAGCCAGGTAGGCGGCGCAGCCAGATCTCCTCGTGCAGGCTGCCCTGTAAGAAAGCTGTGCTGAAGTCATGAGAGTGACACTCATAGTCACGCTGAGCGGCGACGTGCAGTAGCACCCGAAGAGTGGTCATCTTTGGGGTAGGGGAGAAGGTCTGGAAGAAGTAAACTCCTTGTCGCTAATTGAAGCCTCGTGCAACGTAACGAGCCTTGAAGACAGGCGGATTCCCGACGGCCGCTTCACCCCAAAAATCCACATGCCATCAACTATGTTCGCCCCTGGAGGGGAAACTGCATCGACGTAAGTGCCTGTTGACTTCCAGGATGCCATCTGTGCGTCCATGGCTATCTGCCACTGAGAGGAGTAGGGACCCGTAATCACCTCTACGTAAGACCGCAGGGTCGGGATGTTTGGTGCATCCAGGTCTCCCTCGGGTGGAAGTAGCATGGACACGTGATGAGGTACAGCAGCTGCAAGACACTCAAAGTCCTCCTGCGTGTCCTCAAGGACGTCCATGCTAAGAGCAGACTCACCCCTGACGAAAGAAAGTGAGACTCAGACTCAGCAGTAAGACTAGCGGCATAGTCAAGACGACAGCTAGCAGCAAAGTCAACAAGCTCAGCAACAAGGGCAAACGCAGTAGTGGACTCAAACGAAGGGTCAATGACAACAGTGGCCAGAAAACGTGTGATAGTAGGACTGGAAGCACGAAATAAGTTAGACTCAGGGTCCAGACCGTCAAGAAGAGAGGACATAAGAGGAGATGGCAGGGGAACTCGCAGTGGAACAGAGGAAGGACGAAGTGTCATAAGGTGAGTGCCGGGGACAGGAGGAGGAGGCGGACGGGGATCACGACGACTAGTGCGAACAGGTGAGGAAGGGCAAGACGCAGGCTCATGACGATCTGTAAGAGATTGTGTCTTCTCAATGTAAGGAGAAGGAGCAGGCAGTGGGCAGGTTGGTTGTAACTGTAGGTGCGACTAGTCAGGTGGTGGACACAGTAGAGGTGGAGTCAGGTCAGGAGAAGACGGGAGACTAAGAACCTGGCGAAGTAGTGGAACGAAGTACGGTCGTGGCCGCAGAGTGCCTCCAGCACCAGTACCAATAGCTCCAGCACCCCTAGCGCCAGCAACTCCATCTCAAGTGTCTCCAGCTCCAACTCCTGCAGCACCACCAGCTCCAGCAGCTCTAGTATCTCCAGTACAAGCACCTCCAGGACCAGCAACTCCAGCACCTCCAGCACTAGCAGGACCAGCCGCTACAGCAGCTCCAGTACCTCCAACACAAACACCTCAAGGACCAGCAGCTCCAGCACCTCCAGCACGTCTAGCATCTCTAGCACCAGCAGCACCACCAGCTCCGGTAGCTCCAGTACCTCCAGCACAAGCACCTCCAGGACCAGCAGCTCCAGCAAGACCGCCACCACCTCTAGGACTAGTAGCTCCAGCGCCTCCAGTGGCAGTGCCTTCAGAAGCAGGCTCCCCAGCTCTTGCAGCGCCACTCTGAAGGCGGGTGCGCCGAGCAAACCTCTTACACAGCTGCAGTGGAGAGAGAGGCTCCCGTCATGACGAGGCACCCATAGGAGCTCCAGCCGATACAGTACTGCTAGGCCCCCAGGTCCAGAACCCCCAGGCTCCGCACCCTCAGGCTCAGCACCCCCAGGCTCCGCACGCTCAGGCTTAGCACCCCTTGACGCAACACCCCTAGCAGCACCCCCCTCCGCAGCACCAGAGTTGACGGCTACCTCGACAAGTTCAGCCAAGGGGAGTGGGTCTACCTAAGACACACCTGAGGGAGCAGGACCTTGAGCGGGAAGGGGATCTACCAGAGGAGGACCTGGTGCGAGTAAGAGCGGCGGGGGGGGGGGGGGAGAGGGGCAATGCGGAAGGGGAAGAGATGGTAAAAAGAAACTGACTCGTCAAACGTGACGTCCTGAGAGGGCAGGACACAGCGCGAGGTGGGGTGGTAAAACTGCCAACCAGGCGCATCAGGGGGAAATTCCGGGAAGACGCAAGGAATGGCGCAGGAGGAGAGCTTGTTCGCAGAGGTATCGCGGACAAAGGCACGTCAGCCCCAGCCCCGGAACACCGATGCATCGCCAACCTCCCCCGTCCAATGCAGTGTAGGCGAGGTTTTCGGCAAGGAGACGTGGGGCCAGAGGTTGAGCTGATGCGCAGCGTACCGGACCGCAAACAACCACAGAAAATGGGGAGCAGCCGCATGTATCATGGAGTTACAAGAGACCTCCATGACTAAGCCAATGCGGCACTTAGCTACCCCATTCTGCTGTGGAGAGGCCGGAAGCGTGAACGACTGGCGGATGCCATCCCCACGACAATAGTCCCGCAGGAGGTCGGAGGCAAACTCACCACCTCTGTCAGACTGCAGACGCAGAACAGGAAGGTCCACGTGGAACCGCTCGCGAAGCTGGATCCAAGGAGAGGGTGGATCCAAGGGATCAAAACATCAAGGACCTCCCCCTTGCTACGCAACGGGAAGACCATGGTGTAACGCGAGTAGTCGTCAACAACCAGCAAAAAGTATCGCTCGCGGCCCTGTCCACGGATGCAGGCTGGGCCCCACAAGTCCTTGTGGAGATTCTACAGGGGAGCAGTCGTCGAGGGAAACAAGGAGGAGTGAGGAGCGGCGCGCTGCCGCCCCTTGACACAGGGAAGGCAGGGAGGGGCAGGCAAGGGTGGGAGGGGAGGCAGAGACCTGGGAAGACCAGAGACAAGGAGGCGGAAGTGCATGCCACGGAGGCGTGGAAGGGAGGGGTGACCAAGGAGGTGGTGCTTAAGGAGAGTCTGGTGCGACAGGTGGCAACACGAACAGGGGGCTGCTAGCCACCGGAAGAGCTCAGTCGCATCGGGAAACTCTGCGCGCTAGGCGTCGTCAAAACGGGAGAAGCAGCGGAACTGTGTGTAACCAACCTTCCCGCATGTCTGACCACCTGTGCGAATGACGTACCGGCAGCGAACACTACCCCCAAATGCCCCACATTGAGCAAACCAGTTACGAAGCTCCTAGGGCGTAGGGGTCTCACGCTGATGCTGCTGATGCTGCCTCTGACCACCGCCAGAACCTCGCCTCTGACTAGGGCCACCCTGACCACCACCATTGCCACCGCCACCACTCCTTCTGCCGCCACAACTGCCGCCGCCACCACTTCTACTACCGCCACCACCGCCGCCACCAACGCCTCCACTCCCACCACCACTCCCTCCGCCACCACCGCCACCTCCACCGCCTCCACCGCCTCCACCACCGCCTCCACCGCTGCCACCCCCACCACCCTTGCCTCTCTTGCCTCTGCCGCTGTGGCGCCTCCCACTAGGAGTAGACACAGTCCCGACCTCCTTAGCACAAAGGAAATCAACGGCAGCAGCAGAACCGTAGGAGGGGGCAAGGGGGGAGGGGGAACACCCCTCAAAGAAGGGAGTGCGAGGAGTGCCACGAGCAGCACCTACAGCGACTATGTTAGTCTCAGCTGCAAGGAGGTGCTTCTCAACTGAGTCGACTGTGAGGTCGGTAGGGTCAAGGGCGAGAAAGTAGTCCCTGATTGCGCGAAGAGAATCATGGAAGCGGGTGACGATAAAGTAGAGAGCGATGTACATCGGGGGAGGGTTCTTGTCTCGAAACTTGGTGGGAAGTGCGGCGCAGTAGCGAGTGTCACTAGTGCAAAGGTGGGTGATGAGGTCGTCGACTGTGGCAAAGGCGAACAGCTCAGGAAAGATGTAGGGCAGTATAAGGCGGCCGAGAGCAGCAGTGGCAGGGCAGGAGTAATGAGCGACTACAGCGTCGTACAAGGCTTTAGCAGTCTTGTGCTGGCCAAAGTGGGCGCGTTCGGCTAACAGTAAGTGGTTGCGAACGTCTAGGCGAGCAGCACCGTCAAGGGTAAGCCACTGTGAGCGAGTCAAGCTGTCAGCTGTGTCGGGAGGGGCGAGAGAGGCTCTAGACGTATGGTCAAACAATGAAACGATGTCTCTAGAGTCGCTCAGTAGGTACAGCTGTAACTCGTCGAGCCACGTATGAGAATCGAAAGTGAGAACACTAAGAGAAGCCATAGCTAGCAGAGCAGAGGGCAGGGCGGCACGCAAGTGCTAAGGGAGCGCACAGGGTAGAGCGGGGCGGCGCACGGCTAGGGAAGAGCGGTGTGCGACCAGGGCAGGGTAGGGTGGCGGCCAGCAGTGCAGTGCACGGGCAGGGCAGGATGGCGCGGCAGCCAGCAAGACGGCGCGCGGGCAGGGCAGGGCGGCGCGGCGGCCAGCAGGGTGGCGCGCGGCAGGGAAGGGCGGCTCGCGGCAGGGAAGGGCGGCGCGTGGCAGGGGAGGGCGGCGCACGGCAGGGAAGGGCAGCGCGCGGCAGGGAAGGGCGACGCGCGCGCGGGGAGGGCGGCGCGCGGGTTGCAAAGGGCGGCGCGCGGGCAGCAGAGGGGCGGCGCGCGGGCTGCAAAGGGCGGTGCCCGGGCTGCAACGGGCGGCGCGCGGGCTGCAGGGCGGCGCGCGGGCCGTGTAGGGCAGTGCACGGACTACAAGGGGAAGCGCGCGGGCTGTAAGGGGCGGCGGGCTACAAAGCGGCGCGTGGGCTGCAGGGCGGCGCGTAGGCAGGGCAGTCCAGCGCGCTGCCAACAGGGCAGCGCGATAGGCAGGGCAGGGCAGCGCGCGGCCAGCAGGGCGGCGCGATTGTCAGGGCTGGGTAGAGCAGCACGACTAGTGAGATAGGGCGCTACAGGCAGCTAACGAATCGGTGGGCCCTAAAAAAACCGGTCGTGGAACAGGACCTGCTCCGAAACCATGTCAGAATACTAAGCGAGAATGAATGCATTGAACAGAAAGTTGATACAAGTATTAACCCTGATTGGGTTGTACCCCGTATGGGCTACCCCACTATAACCTATACAACACACATAACATAATTGTTTGATATCTTAGACCGTGGCAATGGGTTGTCGAGAGTCGTGGATGGGGGCACCACAGGATCTATCCCGTAATTGAGGAGGTTGTGTTGTTATACGCGAACTCCAGCATTGGGAGCGAATCCTCCCAGTTGGTTAAGTCAGGGCAGTAGGTGCAAATCAGCTGCTCCGTGGTCAAATCTGTCCTTTCAGTCTGGCCGTCGGTTTGCGTGTCGTAAGACAATGAAAGGAGGGTCCGTACTGAGCCCACGTTTCCAGCAAGCATTCCGACATGAATTTGTGGTCTTGATTGCTAATGACCGAATTCATCGCCGCCTACACCACAACGAAAGAAGGAAATTTTGCGACTTACTCAGTGAAGCAAAACTACTGGATGTGTCGTGGTTCTTGCTATTCTGCGACAATCAGTTTGCAATTCGCATTGACAAGTCAAGTTTCGCTAATCGAACCAAGCACAACTCGCAACGTTAGGGACAAATCGAGCATGTCAAGTTACAGCTTGCTTACTGCCCGACTAGCAAAATGGTTACTGACTACTTGATCAAACGGCTGCTTCGACCAAAGGTCTGGTACTGCATGCTGTTGACTGGACTCGGCCACTTGTCAGATGTCAGCTGGAGATCCCCAACTGATCCTATGGAAGGGTTACAGACACGTTGGCCTAGGGGATTATGGGCGCACTCACCCACTATACAAACAAACCTTTTATCCCAATGGTTAGTGGTTGGGATTCTGACATGGTAACATAGCGAAGGTCTTGGGTTCAAATCCATGTGTGTGCACCTAGGGCATCCCAGTGCGAGGTGGGGGTGTCAGAGGTCTACTGGAGATCCCCGATTGATCATAGGGTTATAGGCAAATTGGCTTGGGGGGTTATGGGTGCATTCACCCGCTACCCAAACAAGCCATTGTTGTAGATATAACTAAAACAACAAGAGCTGGTTTACGGGATAGGCACGGCTGTGAGGGTGATATCTTCATTTCTTAGTCATTTGCTCGTGTTCACACTACTTGGGCATTCACGGGGAGATTTTGGAAGAGTTTCACTAGCAAAAGTTGACCACAACTGTTACAACAAAGTTGGGAAGCTAGACTTCATCATATTCTAGCAAGCATGCAGGTCAACTGCCAGCACAACATGGTCGACCGCGGTCCAGCGTTGCATGGTCGACCGCGCTCCAGCAGTGCAAAGTCACGGCGTGCCAACGCTGCAAGTCGACGGCATGTTAATGTTGTAGCAAGGCGGCTTCACAGCGTTGCACCCGAAGGATAGCAGTACACCTGCTTCGTAGGTGCCCGCAGTTGATTGGCTTGCTGCGCCTCATCACCTGCACAACGCAGACACCAAATCATCCACGTGCGGCTGTCTGCACCTGATCAGCCATGTCGACCTCGGGATACCACCACCGAGGTCGGCTTCGCCACAAACCTCTGAGCGACTGACGTGCTCCTCTGCTAAACCCCGTCGCCTGGGTAACGTAGTCGACCATGCAACCACGTCGACAAGCAGCTTCTCCTCATGCTTATCGACCACCCAAGTTGTCGACAACCTCCAGTCGACCACACCCCTGGTCGACCAGCTCCAGGTTGACCAGCCCAGCTGTAAGCCGACTAGACCAAGTCGGCTTCCCCTGGTCGGCATCACCAAGTCGCCGCCCTCCTCAGGTAGACCTCCCAAATTGACCTCCCTGTGCTGAAATCGGCCGCCGGCGCCCCCAAGTCGGCAGCTTTGCGCCAGCTTGCCCAAGTCGGTGTCGCCCACTGTTGCAGGTCGGTTGCACCTCTCGCACACCCGACCACGGAGTCGGCTCCGCCCAAGCGAGGATGGGGCCAACACACGTCAGTGGTTAGTGGCTGGGATTCTGACACCATGTTAGCGATAACACCGACAACATCAAACTTTAGGATAGAAAGGGAATGTGGAAAGTAAATCAACGTTGTTATACAATTCAGTAGTTCGGTAATCCGGGCCTGCGCTAGCAGAATGTTTTTGTCTGTTTGTCTCCTTATCAGTTTTTTTTCTTTTTTTTTAGCGGATTATCTTATATGTCAGAAATTATTTTTTTGTGAATTTTGTTAGGAAAGGTGTTATGAGTTGTACAAGGGAGTGCACGGAATAACAAATAACGAGATTGTGACTCACTGAACTGACAATACCATGAAGGCACGTGCTAATATAGTGACTAACCAAGCTAGGAGGGAACCTCGGGAAACGAGGTCGGGTACAGGTTTGGCGGTCGGAAAGCCAAAGGCGACGAGATAATCACCAAGAAGAGGGGATGCTTCAAGCAAGGTGGATGGCACCCAAGTGTCATCTTCACTTGTGCGGTCAGTCCAACAGACTAGAAAGTCTACGTGGCGTCAGATGCGTCGAGCTGAACACGATGTGCCAAAATCTAGGACGGGTCAAGTGTCGGTTCCGGGAGAGGTTGAGCTATCGGGGCAGCGTTTGGGCGTGCAATGTCGGTCGTGGCAGGTACAAAATTGCGAGTGAGGCAGAGATGGAAGACGTCGTGTATACACCAGTCGTCAAGTAGCAGCAGCTTCGCGACGACAGGTGTCACCATATGGATGATGCAAAATGGCCCACAAAATTGTGGCCGTAGCTTGTTTGGGCCGGGCAGGATCAGGTTTTTCGTGTCGAGCAGCACTAGTTGCCCAGCTACCTTGACGATTTCTCGTCGCAGAAGATCAGTGTATTTCCGGGCAGTGCTATTAACCTTGCGAAATTGCATCAACTGCTTTCTCGCGGATCTCCTTGAGTTCCGTCACCAATGCTTGTGACCTTGGGACCGGGTTGTCGAGTGTAGTCATGGTTGCTACCTTGTAATTCACGAAGAATGGGGAATGATTAGTCGTACTGGACGGGGCATTGTTGAACGTGAACTCCAACATGGCGAGGGAATTTTCCCAACGAGTGGGGTCGGGCCAGTTTGTCCTGATCAGCAACTCTATCGTCTGATTGGTCTGCTCGGTCTGACCGTCGGTTTGCGGGTGGTATGCCAACATAAACTGTAGCTTTGTGCCCACGTCTCCTTCCAAAACTTTGAAATAAACTTCGGTTCCTGGTGGCTGATGATCACTAACGGGATGCTGCGCAGTCGCACGACGGTGGAGACGAAGATTCGCGCAGTTTCTTTGGTTGTAACTCTCGTGTGACAATGTGCAAAGTGCACCATTTTCGTGAGGCGATCGACGATGACAAGCACAACGTCGTTGCCGGGTGGCCCAACTGGCAGCCCCATGACGAAGTCCATTGTCATATGTTGCCATGGTCGCTGGGGTGGATCCAAGGGTTGCAGCAATCTAGCTGGTCGCTGACGTGTCGATTTCATGGCTTATCACAGCCTACTTGAGGACACATAGAGCTACACGTTGTTAGAAAAAAAAAGGCCAATATTATTGTCAGTGCAGCATTTTTTGGGTTTAATCAACCCCGAATGTCCGGAGAGGTTGGAATCGTGGACCTCTTGGATAAGGAGTTCATGCTGTCAGAATTATATTATTATACCTGCATGTAGTTCTAGCTGTAGTGTGGATATGAACTTTATAGGTGGTGCACCTCCTTCTTCACTTGTTTGCTATATGTACCTCTCTTCCTATAGTGAACCTCATTCCCAACATTCTCGACACTCTCCCTTGGCACAAACCACTCGATATCCCCTAGGCCTAGGCTACTAAGCCTAGGCCTACTTACCTCTCAATTTCTCTTAGAGCTCGTGATTTTGACATGGATTCAGAGCGTGTTTCGTCCTGGCCTGTGGGCCCGCCTAATGCTTCCGCTGCTGTATTTCTGGTCGCGCGCCTCGGGCGCGTGACGTTTTTTTTCTACCCGTCGCGGACCCGCCCCTGGCGCCCGCGACGGCGCCCTGAGCCGTCGCGGACCCGCCTCTGGCGCCCGCGGCGGTGCCCTTAGCCGTCGTGGACCCGCCTCTGGCGCCTGCGGCGGTGCCCTGAGCCGTCGCGGACCCGCCTCTGGCGCCCGCGGCGGTGCCCTTAGCCGTCGCGGACCCGCCTCTGGCACTCGCGGCGGTGCACTGAGCCGTCGCGGACCCGCCTTTGGCGCCTGCCGCGGTGCCCTGAGCCGTCGCGGACCCGCCCTTGGCGCCCGCGGCGGTGCCCTGCGCCGTCGCGGACCCGCCCCTGGCG